CCAAATTCTGTCAAGTTGACAATTGACACTGACCATCACACAAATCTAGAGGCTCATCTCCATTGTATTACCAAGTTGTCTCCAATTGACAGTATTAATTATCATAACCTATTCAAGGCTGAGCATAATTGGTAAGAGAAACCCGGTCTCCAAGTAAAGACTGGATTCCAGACAGGACATAAGTGAAGTGGCACAGCTGGGAAAATGTAGGACAGGTTTCAGTTTGAACTCTGTGGATTACATAACAATAACACTAGAACTCACAAGTCAGAGTATGTCTTTCCTTTGCTCAAAAACTTGCCTATGAGTCTCACTTTATTTCAGCTAAAATAGCAAAGTCCTTAATCTTCAGACCCTTTATTTAGTCAGCCCTTTAATTGCCAATGTCTAATACTCTCTTCCTTGGTCCCATTTTTGGGAGCCATAGAACTTCTAATGTAGGGCCCATTTCCTCAGCATGGAGCTCTTTTCTCCCAGGTGGCTTTAGGGTCCATCTCTTCCTTCAGGCTGTCTTCATCAGACAGACCTGTCTTTATGTTTTTCTGTCTTAGTCCTTCCCCACTCTCGCTGCTTTCTAGTCCCCTTACTCTGCCTTATTACTTCACAGTACTTAGGAAGTGCCAATTTATGATATCTATATGTTTATTTGTAATTGCCTTTTATTTCACTATTGAATTGTGATTGGATATGGGAAATGCCATCATAGATATGACACTTCAATGTGCTAAGTATTTTAAGCTAAAGGAATTGAGAAAACAACCAAAGCAGGGGGATCACCTAGCCTTTGTCATCTCTCTTTATTCTGCCTTTCTCCTCTGAGGCCAGTAAAAGTATCTTCTGACCTATCTCACCTAAAGGAGAATATGAGACCCTCCAATGGTAGGTATCCTGCCTTCTAACTAGAGCAAAGGAATGCAGAACAAGGACAAAGGAAAATAGGACAAATAGGCTGGGTTAATTTGCATTGCTATGATTTAAGTAACTGACATATACAACTTAAACTAAAAATAGTTTATCTTGGTTCATTGTTTCAGGGGGGTTTTCATCTTTTATGGTGGGGAAGAAATTGGGGACATTATGGCAATGGGGGTGTGTGGCAGACTCCACATGGCAGCAGACAAGAAGTAGAGACAGCATGCTGGAAGTAGGGGGGGTACAGACTTCAGTTGCCCACCCCTCATCACCTGATTTCACCAGTCGAGCCCCACCTCTGAAAAACTCTGCAGCTTTGAAATTGTGCCAGTCTGAGACAAACACTAAAACCAGGAGCCTAGGGCTGTGGAGGTAGCTCAGCAGAGTGCTTGCTCACAAACATAAGGAGCCTATGTACAAAGCTGAGCATGGTGGCATACACCTGTGTAAACAATGCCTTGGAGACAGAGACAGAGACAGAGATGTCCTAGAGTTTCTGGCTTGTCAGTCTAGCTGATTGAAAGGCTTTGGGTTCAGAGATATTGAAGAAAACACCAACATTGACATTGGGTCTCCACATATGCACACGTGTACCTACAAGCATACCACACATTGTTTTTAGTTACAGTAAACCTTTCTCCTGGCTACAACTGTTCTCTGCTGCTTTCCTCCACAGGCAGACTTATATTCTGTTTTCCTGGTCTCTCCATACCCAGTGTTTCCATCGAGTTTTATGCATCATCTTGTCATTGCCTTCCTACAGGGACTCAGACCCTGATAACACATTTGCTGGTCTCACAGAAACTTAATGGAAGCCTCCATGGCCCTGCAGCTCTTGTTTTCTGCCTATGTGCAAAACCGTCAGTATATAGACAATGCCAGTTTCTCTTACTGGTATAAGCAGTAGCTTGGCTCCAAGTACCTGTATGGCCAAAGAAAGAAAGATACTTCTATGAGTGTCTTCTTTCCAAAGGGCACCAGAGCCTCTCTTTTAGGTGTTCTTCCTTCATGTTTTCAGGTGGGTTCCTACTGTATGCCTTTGGTGGGAGGGGTATTTCCCTTGAAACATCTTTCCTATTTACCCTGGGAATAGTCTGTGACTTTTCTTTAATGGCACCAATCTTTTAACAGCCTCAATTGCTTTCTTCTCTCTTCCTTTGTCTTCCTTGCGACTGTGTCTCTGCCTTTTTTTTTTCCTGGCCAACTTGTACATTTCTAAACAGTGTTGCTATTTGCTCTTACTATTCTCACTGTAAACATGCATGACAATAGCTAGCAATGAACCAGGATGCACCCTAAAATTATGCTGTCTTGAAACTTCCTCGACAATAAATGAGTCCATTGCTGTTGAATTTGCCCTCATTCAGGACACGATAAATTGTTTTCTGAAGTAACTTCTAATCTGATTCCTGATGGGGTCCTTGTTCTTATCTGAAGCCTCCTGAGTGAGCCTTCATTTCCTTTGACATTCTGACCTTCTGATCTGGTCTAATGGCATTCTCAAACTTATAGTTCTTTCTAGGAGTGAGTTTCAAAGACTTAAAACATCATCACAACAACCCTGCTTCTCTGGAACCAGCTTCCTGTATGACTTTTCCTATTGCCATGGCAGAATACTGGACAGAACAGCTTACTAGAGCAAAATCTTATTTGAATTCATCCCTTTTAGAGAATTTAGCCTACCCTAGAATAGGTGGCAAAGTAGTGGAGCAGCCCTGGCTGTGGGGCCAGCAGTTAGAGGCAGCTGTCCACATGTGGCAGGCAGGAAGGAGAAAAGGCCAGGCAGAATCTTCAAAGGCCTACACCTGTGACTTAACTTCTGCCAGCCAGGTCCTATCTCAAAAAGTCTCTACTGCCTACAAGACTGATTCCTCAAATCATGAGCCTCTGGGAGAGGACCTTTTTGGTTTTTCAAGAAAGAGTTTCTCTGTGTAACAGCTCTAGCTGTCCTGGAACTCACTCTATAGACCAGGCTGGCCTCGAACTCACAGAGATTCACAAGTCTCCACCTCCTGAGTGCTGGGATTAAAGGTGTGTGCCACCACCACCCAGTTGGGAAGAGGACTTTTTTTCTTTTTCTTTTTCTTTTTTTTTTTTTTTACTGTTGTTTCCCCAGGACCAGTCCCTAGTACATAGTTATTCTAGAATATGTACTAAATGAATGAAAATGAGAGCATGAAGGGCACAAGGAGAGGAAGGAATTTGGTGTGACCTATTATGATATTTTGTGTTCTAGGCAAAGGATACAATTTAAATCATTAGTTTGTTGCCATTGAAATATTTGAGCAGGAAAGTGAGAGCAAAACCATGCAGTTTAAAGATTGAATTGGTACTAAGGTGTTAGATTAATTCTTAAAATGCCTTCAAGAGCTGGAGAGATAGCTTAGATGGTAAGTGACTGGCACACAAATATTGAGGCCTAAGGTCAGGTCTCAGTGCTCATATCAAAAGCTGTATGTGATGTGGATTTGTAATCCCAGTTCTAGGGAAGCAGAGGCAGGAGGGTCCCTGGGTTTCATGGTGAATTGGAGCATTCCAGATTCAGTGAGAAACCCCATCTCCAAAAATCGAGTAGAGAATGACCGAGGAGGATACCTAGCATCTACCACCCACCATAGGTGTTATACACCACTGCCAAATGTGCCTTTTGGAATAGTTTGACTCCCAAGCAACTGTTAAAGTAGTTAAATGAGCTGCACTAATAATACCTCCATTACTTCAGTTTCACATATAGGAAAATTACTTTGGTGTCATACTGCTAACCCAGGGACAGATCTCAGTCAAATATAATCAGATTCTATATATCCTTTCGTTTTTCCCCTTTTTTTGGGTGGTGGTGGTGGTGGAGTATGATTTATGATAACAATAGGTTCAGTTTTGAATAAGTGCCCTTATTAAGTATATACTAAAGTAAAGGAATAAATAGCAAGAGAGAGTCAAACATCATCAAACCATCAGAGTGCTCAGAATATCCACCAGAAAGCAGTAAGGTTTGTCTCCATGTCTGACCTGACTCTGGTGGAGCTTCCTTGTCATACCATGGATGAACAACAGTGGCCCCTGTTGGAAATAGTTACGCTCTAGCTGTTCTCAGTTGTCCCCTTCCTGTTGAATTGGAGAAGATAACCTCTCCCCAGATAAGGGACCTTGGAGGATACCTTGAGATCATTTGTAAATCTAAAAGCAAGTGTGCAACCCCACTTCCTAAGCCTGCATTTCAGTGAGGTCAAACGACATGGGGCAAGTTACTAATACAATGTATATTGCAGGTGCACAGTTGAAAATTTTTATCAAAAATGTTATTTAATGTTTCTACATCATTTAGTGGCTTATGTTTTAAGCAAAGTTTTTAATACCATTCTTTATGGCCTACTGTTTACATATGAATAAGCGAATAGCAAATAGGCTGTTTTCTTTTTTCTGCTTTGGTGTTTCTGTGGGCAGGTAAAAGGCATTTTTTTCTTTTCTACACTAAAAATGCTTTTAAATTGTTTTTCACAAGTTTTACCATGTATCATTTATTAATTTTTAGTTTCTTATCTCATTTAAAGCTAACATATTACATTATTTCATTCTATTGAGAACTTATTTATACAGCAATCTGCCATATTTTTATTTTTATGATAGCAAAATAGTTCTGTAAGACTTATTAGAGCATGAAAGCTTTTTTTCCCCTTCGTCTTCCCAGGCAATCATTTATTAATAATTTCAAATTTGGAAAGGGTGGTGGGTGGAATGGAGAATATTACTTAATCCTTTAAAGTCCCCTAAATTTTTCTAACTTGTAAATATATTCTGCTAGTCTGATTATTTTAATAAAATTCCACTTTGCTAGTTTTTATATGAGGCATATACATCTTTAAGTGATTTTCTGGGTCTGTGTTAAGTTTGAATCCATATGATTCAGTTCAGTTCCCGAAGCTGGGCTGAAATGTTTACGCTCTCTGCATACTACTGTTTACTGCTGTTGCTGGTACCTAAGCTTCAGTTTTTGGTCTTCAGTGGACTCTGGATTAGAAAGCTGTCCTGTGCATGACAGCTGAAGCAGACCAAGGTCTGACTTAATGTACTTAGCACATTTCTTGCAGGTTCTGAGTTGTGTTCGCACAGAAGGAAATCCTCTGGATGTTCACTTTGGCACCAAACAGCCTTACCATGTGTGCACAGTGGAGTGCTCCATTAGTGTGGACAAGGAGCCCATGGCTGACAGCTGTGTCTATGAATGTGTCCGGAACAAACTCCATTGCATGTCAGTTACTAGGATACCACTAAGATCGAAGGCCATCAGCTGTTGCAGGAATCCTACTGAAGACAAACTGATTGTGGGCTGTGAAGATTCTTCAGTAATTCTCTATGAAGCTCATCGTGGAGTGACTCTCTTGGCCCAAGCTGAACTTCTGCCTTCATTAATAAGCTGCCACCCAAGTGGTGCCATTCTGCTAGTTGGCAGCAACCAAGGGGAACTGCAAATTTTTGACATTGCTCTATCCCCTATTAACATCCAGCTCTTGGCTGAAGATCGCTTACCCAGTAAGACTTTGCAATTCAATAAATTCTTTGATGTTTCAAGCAATCTTGTACAAATGCAGTGGATAGCTCCTCCTGTTGTTTCCCAGAAGCCTGAAAGAGGAGAAATCTATGATCTCCTCTTCCTCAGGTTCAACAGAGGACCTGTGGGTGTGCTGTTGTTTAAACTTGGTAAGTCAAGTAGACTCATAAGTATCTTCTTGTTTATGTTGGTGACAATAACCAAGGCATCAAACTATTCTTCAGATGGTAAGGTTTTCTGTTTTTCATATCATAAGTATGTCTACCTTTCAATAATTGCATATAGGTTCCTTGAAAAACCTTGTGGGTGATTTTCTGTCTAGCAAAGGAATATTAAATATTAGAGACTTTAGAAATTGTGCTAATTGTACATAATGGTTGATTTTCTGAGCCGAAGGGATAGCTCAAGGGTTAAAAGTATTTACTATTCTTTTAAAGGGCCTGGGTCTAGTTCCCAGCATCTACATGGTGGCTCACAACTATCTGTAACTCCAGTTTCAGGGGATCTAATGCCATCTTCTGACCTTCCCAAGCACTGCACACACATGGTACACATAAACTCATGTAAGAACACATAAACACATATACCACACACACAATATTTTTTAATATGAATTTTCACTTCTAATTTTTTCTAAAGTAATTTTCAGAATAGCTAGATAAAAATTTAAAAACTTAACTGAATTTATTGTGAAAACCTGCATTATAGAATATAATGCTTTTCTATAGAAATTATTTTAGATTATTCATGTCTGTTGCTGTTCAGGTTGAAATTGTGTAGAGCAAATGTTTAAAAAGAAATTAAGTAAGATACTTAGTTAAAATTCACCAAAGATCAAAGATCTTTGTGTAAGTTTTTTGTTTTTGTTTTTGTTTTTCCTTTTGGATTGAAATATCTAAAGGGGTTTCTTAGTTTCCATAAATTATGAAGTAATATAGGTTTTATATATATATATATTTTTTTTCAATAGGAGGTCAGAAATAATGTAGCTTTTTAAGGTTCTATTATGGAACCTTAATGTGAAATACCATTCTGACTTTTGTAGCTATGGATTACCAGATATGTACTGAAAGTGTTGTGCCAAATTCTGAACCCCAAAATCACCAAGAGGCCCATTTTGATGCAAAAGCAATGAGACTTTTATTGCAGTTGTTAAATGAGCTAGTCCTATTAGCTTGGGCCTTTCATCCTTCCACTACAAGCAGATGGCCGGGGAAAGACCCTGAGAAACCACGGGACAGAGATCTTAAAAGGACAGTGTAAGGGGAGTGTCTAGGGGTAAGAACAATCTTAGGATTGGTGCACTTCCAGGCTTGGATACCCTCCCCATCCTGTGTTGATTGGTCAACTGGTTGTTGTGGCCTATAGGACCATCCAGGGTGGTTGCTATGCTCTGTACGTCACTGCTATGCACTTGTCGGTAAAGCACACTCAGAGCCATAAAGCATAGCCCTGCTAGCTAACTTCTGATTGGTTCCTTGCCACAAGGCAGGCATCTGACCTCCTATTGAAAAGGCAAGGTCAGGCAAACCAAGTGTTAGCCTGTCGTGGCTGCCAAAACAGGGGTTGGTCCCTTAAAAAAACAAGAACTGCTTAGGTAGTTTTGTATAATTTAACATTCTTTGAGGGACTTAGGTTTACAAAAACATTTTTTAAATTAACGCACTTTATGTACTTGAAAAAAATGGAAAATACATTTGAAAACCTTACAGGATTTGCTGTTGGTGCGGAGTTAGATTTTAGAGACATCATGGTATTTGTCAAGCTGGAATTGCTTTTTCTGTTTTCATACTGGTCTACTTGCCTCCAAATTGAATGTAAGAAGTAAGTCCAGTGAAAATGGCATGATTAACCTGAGATACAGAGAGTATATAATGATGCCTGTGTTCTTTCTAATAGTAGAAATGCAACTGACTGTTCATAATGTTAAAATTGTTCAAAATGTTTGGAATCTCTTTTATAATGAAGTTAGACTTTGCACAGCTACATTTTAAAAGTTGTATGTCTTCCTATAAAAAACCAAAGTGAGTGTTTGATGTTTTCCATGTCTATTAAAACATACAGTCCTTCCCTCACTCCCTCCATCTCTCTCCCTCCTTCCCTCCCTTTTTCTCCCTCCCTCTGTCCCTTCCCTATCTTCTCTTTCTCTTCTCCTCCTTTAAATTACTCAGTTACCTACCTGGCAACAGAATGCTGTGTGCCCATGCATACCTAGCGTTGCTTCCACTCTTCCTTGCTTCCTCACAACAGCTTTGCAAAAAGCACAGTTTTGTCTTCCTGTCTCTAGCACATTTGCCTTCTTACTAAGGTAAACAGGCTCTCAGTGTAGGGATTTAGAGGGCTTCCTGCTAATTGCCAGCTTGTAAACTTAATTGGACTGTCTCCCTGGGCACTGTTCCTAAATCAATTAGGCAATGAGTTGGCTGTCACCTCTTTCCCAAGAAGGTCTCTTGGAATAGAATTATCCAATAGAAGTCAAGCATTCAGATAGAAAGGTGATAACTTTTGCAACTGACATTTATCTTTTAAATTGTATTTTCATTTAAGTCTACAGGACAGGGGAACTGCAGTCTTCCAGTTTAGCTCTTTGAAAGAGCTAAATTTGGAATATCTAAGGATTTTTTAAAAAGTTTTGTGTCCCATTTTTAATGTATTATGAAATTAATATTTATATCATTTTTCCCCTGGGAGGAGTAGATTACTTGAAATAGTAGATTCCAACCAGCATTTTTAAAAAAGAAAACCTAGTTTTAAAGAACAGATTTTTCTTATGATCTGCTACTAAATACATCCAAAAATTAATATACTTCTTGAATTAACACAGAGCTGATTCTGGGCATCCATGTGGCATTTTCATGTATAATTCAAGTTACTGCATATGTAAACAGGTAGTTGCATGTGCAGCTCTCCCGAGAGAGAGCTTTATGAGACTCTTTTTCAGACGTTTCTTATGCAAGCCTTTGGAAAACTTGATATGAAAGGTGTAGCTTACAATTTTAAATTGTAAAGACAAATCATAGATCATGGTTTAAAATAGAATGCTGTCACATGTAACCGGTGGCAGTGGCAGATGCCAATATGCTAACATTTTTGGAGTTACACTGTAGAACAGGTCAGTTAGTATACTGCTGTAGGAAAATTCTTAAGGATAGATGTTCCATTCTTATTGTTTACAATGGCTACACAAGAATGTTAAGTATGTAAAGGGCATCTCTGCTACAAGAAGACTTCCAGGTGAGTGTTTTCTTTGGGAAACAGAAGTGTCATGTTCCTAACACTGCATTCTATAAACAGTAAGTGTGCTGTTCAGAAAACCTTATGGCATTATGCTCATACCACGTCTCCATGTGTGTAGACTGGGGTTAGTTTTGAGAGGGGACCTGGTCATTGTATACTGAGATTGTAAAGCTTGTCCAGTCTCATCACAGCCTATCCAGCCCTCTCTGTTCTTTGAGTGCTTTAACTCTATCAGCTCTTCTCTTAACACAGGCTCTCTCCTGGTAATTAGCACTTCATTGAGTTTACCTGTTAGCCCCCACCCCCATTCCACTAATTATGTGTGTGCCATGAAGGACCAGGCTGCTAGTGCTAACCCTAGGCTGGTCTTGCCACCACTGTCACTGTGACACCTTTACTTTGCTATCCTTCCTACATGCCATGAATCTTAGTACGTCAGTCCATAAACAGGCCCAGGCCACCTCACAGGAAACAAATCTTCATTGACAGTGTGTTTCTTTTGCTTCTGAACAAGTGCGCTACCTTCTTCCATTGCCACTGTCACTAATGTGACAGTGAGCACTGACTTTCCTGACATCTTTGCTTCTCACTGCTTCCTCAGAGCCATAACTGTGGTTTGTGTCTGCAGCACTTTCTGGAACTATTCATGGAAAGGTCCCTGGTGATTTCCTTTGTGATAAATGCATTTCCTTTGTTGATGTTGGCTGACTACATCCATGATCCAAAGAACATTTTTTATGACTCTGAACACAGCTTTTTTTTTTTCCCACTTGTCTTCTGCCTACTCATAAAATGGAGTTCTTCAGGAGTGTACTTTTAGTTCTTAGCTCATTTTGTTCAGGTTGAATTCTTTGTAATTCATCTGTGCACTATGGTTTGAATTTCATCTCCGAAAGCCACAGTGATATTTAATTGCCACTGTAACAGTGTAAAGAAGTAAAGTTTTCAAGAACTGATTAAGTCACAAGGAATCTGCTCTCATAAATGCATTAATGCAGTTACTGAGGGGTGTGTTTGCTGTATATGCAGTCTCCACTTCTACCATGTTATAAGCTAAATAAACTTATAATGTTTATAGTCAGTTATAGTAGCAGAAAATGGACTCAGCCACTGTCCTGTCTCTGACATTCTATCATGATTGCTCCTGATTCCACATGTACGTTTTCCCTGGTTTGCTGGGAAGGTCTGCAACCATTATCATTTCACCCAAACCCACTTTCTTCCTATATTCTCCATCTTAGTAGATGTTATAATTATTTAGATGGGACCTCCAAATCAAAAATTTTTTGTCCTTCTTGACAGTCTTCTTTCATATCTGGTGATAGTGAGTAAATCCAATCAATTCTACCTTGTAAGTACTATATATAGTATTCCATCTAGCCTCCCCTATTTTATTCTCATCAAATAGAGGCCTTCCATCTGTACTCCTCTGCTTCCCATTTATTACCCTGATTAACTCCCAAAGTACTTAAGAGGGATCATTATAACAGAATAAATTTGGTCATGGATTATCCAGCTTGTAATACTCAGTAGTGGATTAATACTGTCTGCTTCTCAGGCTATGGCTCCCCAGCCATACCATACCAGTGTAGCTTCCTAACTGAGGCATATGCTCTCTGACTCATTTTCTATGGTGTTGGTGGTGGTAATGATGGTCTATCTACATGAATGATCCTACAGTGCCCAATAACATAAATTAAAGTTAATATATTTTCTCTCTTTGAGTTTTAAAAATTCCAGGGTGTTTGTGTGTGTGTGTGTGTGTGTGTGTGTGTGTGTGTGTGTGTGTGTGTGTCTGTCTGTCTGTCTGTCTGTCTGTCTGTCTGTCTGTTTCTAACTCTCTCTCTCTCTCTTTTTTTTTTTTCCGTTTTTCAAGACAGGGTTTCTCTGTGTAGCTTTGGAGCCTATCCTG